CTAATTTAACAGGATGGGAGCATCTCTATGCAGTGTTAGCCCTAGAATTCCAAACTCCTCTGAGGCAGAAAGCCCCCTATTTTATTTTGGGTGTACAACTGAAAAATAAGACCACTCTGTAAAACATGGTCTCTTGAACAGCATCATTTTATACTCAAGGATCCTCTGTCAGGATAAGCAGGTAGCAAGAATCCAATGAGGGAGGGAGAGCAGACCAGGACAGAGCATCCATGGGTGGTGTAAGCCAGAGCCTGACCAGGATCAGGCAGTTCTGGTGCATCCCAGGCTGACAGAGGTCATCTCCATCCCTTTCTCCCCACAGGTGCGAGAGGTTGGCAGAGGAGTGCCCAGACAACCCGTGCCGCAACGCCGGGCGCTGCGTGAGCAGCCAGGGCTCCACGTACTGCATCTGCCCACCGGATTACCAGGGGGACTACTGCACCCAGCCCATCATCACCCCAGCCATCGTGCCCACGCACTGGGCGCTGGGCCCCGAGGAGATCGCGGAGATCGCGGCCGGCGTGCTGGGGGCGGCCATCCTGGCCACGATCTTCGTGCTGGTGCGCAAGCGCTGCCGCCACCGCGCCAAGGCGCACAAGCCGGTGGCCCGCGAGGACCCCGACCTGCTCTCCAAGAGCGAGTTCTCCAAGAGCGTGGGCGTGGGCACCCAGCCCGTGCCCCCCATCGAGCTCAACATCCTCGGCGACGCGGCGCACAACAACCTGGACCGGGCCACCCCCGAGCAGCGCAAAGGCACCGGCAGCCCCGAGTTCGTCACCTTCAACTCGGCCAACGCCCCCAAGCACCGGGGCACCATCGTGTGCAGCGTGGCCCCCAACCTGCCCCCCGCTGCACCCCCGTCCAACTCCGACAACGAGTCCTTCATCAAGTGCACCTGGGCCAGGGAGGAGATGGGTCAGTAGCCACAGATTCTTCTTGCTCTTAAATATCCCTCTTTCCCTTGGGAAGTGGATCTGAGGTTTGCAAACATGCAGGAAAAATGGTGTTGGCTAAAGTAAAGTAGTGTTGTCGTCTTATCGCAAAAGTTCCATGCCTTCTTGGTGATTTCTCACGGGCACCTCCTTAAAGCACTGACTCCTTCATAGCACAGCCAACAAACTCCAGCTTCCTTCTCAACCACCTAACCCCTTCTTTTATAGCACTCATCCTCATTAGACACAGCTGTGGCCTCTTAAGGGCAGGCCTATTCCTAATCTTTGGTAATCAGTACAGCTGCAACTCCTCAGGGGTGAGATTACCTTCTGCACTGTCTATTTTCTTACATTCTATCCCCCCACAAAGTAGGGGCAAAATCTGCCTCAGCCCTGCTATAGGACCTTCATTGGCTCTTCCTTCCTGGTTCACCACTACATCCCCGTTGTCTGCTTTAACCTGCTTGGTTTTGTACACAATCAGCAGGGAAGCCATTAATGCACAGCAAGTTGTGATCCTGCATCAAAAAAGCCTATGAAAGAGAAAAACTGGAAAAAGAAAATTAAGATCCTAAAAGCCAGTAGGGGTTTTAATGAAGACATTTGCATCAGTGCTTCTGGGCAGAGGGATGACATTCTCAGGGAAACACCTTGAATGGCTCTGGACAGCAAGGTTACCCCATGCAGGAGTTCCTCACAGGAGTAACTGCAGGGAAAGGGAGAGATCCAGGGCATCACTGCCCCAATCCCTTCATAACATGAGTTTCTTGCATCCAAACATAATTATGAAGTGTGTCTTTTGGGTGCTGGAGTAGTGGATATCTGTAGGCTAGTGGGAACGCAGCCTCAGCACACCCATGGGTGATCTCAGGTCCCCACAATTCCCAAAGCAGCAGCTACACCTCCCCTATCCCTTCATCTCCTCTTCTCCCTAGTCTGCCATATTTCCTGCAGGCTCAGAGCCCACAGAGGGAATTGGCAGGAGGGCAAAAGAGAGGCAACAGCTGCTAGAGCTGCATCTAACGCAACTTTCTTTTGTTCCAGTGTACCCAGCAGAAACCACCTACTGGCCGCCCCGGTACCTGTCATCAGATGTCCAGGAGTATTCCCACTACGAGATCATCCAAGGCCCCCCTGCCTCCTCCTCTCACCCTCCTCTCCCGCCGCCGCCCCCTCCCCCGGCAGACGCGGAGCCGGTCGCTCTCTACGGGGGCTTCCCCTTCCCGCTGGACCAGAGCAACAAGCGCGCCCCCATCCCACCCCGCTACAGCAACCAGAACCTGGAGGACTTCCTGCCGCTGGGCCCCATGGACGTGGGGGCATCCCAGTGCCAGAACGAGTACACAGCCATCAGCTACTACCCAGCACAGCTGGTGCAGGGCGAGGGGGTCCCGTTCCAGCCCGAGCCGGGCTACAAGAGGGTCAGCATGCGCCTGAGCGTGGCCCAGCCCTCGTACGCCGACTGCGAGCTGGGCCACCAGCCCAGCATCCGAGCCCAGCCCCTGGCACCACCCAACTACGAGGGCTCTGACATGGTGGAGAGTGACTACGGGAGCTGCGAGGAGGTGATGTTCTAGCGGGGCTTGCTCCTGGGATGAGGAGAGAAGCACGTTTCCACGCAGGACAGAGGGCAGGGGGCTGGCACACGCTGCTGAAGGGAGGCTTGTGTGTGTCCCTCTCAGCTTGCAGTGTCCCCTCCTGCATGGCTGGGTTGTAATTTTGGCTGGATCTTTCCCCTCGCTGCCCTCCACGGTGCTCCTGCTGCAAATGGAGGGGAAATGCTCCAGGCACTGCTGGGACATGGAGGATGCTCCTGGGATGCCAGTGACTAACCTGCCTCCTCACCAAGGGGACTGCCTCCAGCACCATGCAGGACCACAGCATGCTACCTCCTCCCACGCCAGGCTTCCTGGCCACAGGGAGGATGAGGAGGAGGAGGGCAAGCACTGCAGGTATGGCAGCAGTCATGGAGGAGAAAGGTGTGGAAGGATTAGCAGTGCACAGCCTGGCAGTGCCCCTTGTGGGGTACAGAGGCTCCCTGCTCCCAGCTCTGGCTCCAAGGGCTTGCATCAAGCCAACAGTTTGATCGTGGAATGGATCAGCTGCTGCAAACCCTCTTTGTGTCTGCTCCCTGACACTGGGGGAGGGAAGAGGGAATGCAGCTGGTCCCACCAGCACATCCCTGACTGGCTAACAGAAGTCCAAGGGAAAAAAAAAAAAAAAAAAGAAAAAAAGAAATTTGTGTAGAAAAACCAAGCAACAAGGTTTGTTACAGCAGGAACCACCCACAGACTCAAACCAGGCTGCCCAGTTGGGCTGTGTGCACACGAGTAAGGGAGATCCTGCCCTGAGGATTGTGTGCACAGCCTTGTCCCCATGGCTGTCACAGTCCCACACTGATGCAGCTGCACACCCCGTGCTGTGTCCCAGAAAGACTGGCCAGCACTGCCTGGAATCTCTGCCCAGAGAGGGGCACTGAGGCTACTGAGCATGGGTTAGCCTGTTTGTCCTTGTGCTTGGACATGTATCGTTCTTCGTGAGAGGTTTCCTTTGGTTGGTTGTTTGATGTAACTTTTTTTGTTGTTGAATTTTTGGAAAGTATTAAAAGAGTTTGGATTTTTTTACTATTATGATTTTATTCAGTATCTCAGGGATTCTCTTGTAAATAAATAGGACATCCTTGCTTAGCTTCAGCCAAGGGAACAACAGTTTAGTTTGGGCACCAAAAGCGTTCAGAAAAGTGCCAAGACAGCAAGTTAAACACTTTTTTGAGGATCCTGTAAGTGCCAGAGGGATGAGGCAGACAGGCCCACAGTACCCTGTCTTGCTTTGGGAAACCATGAGCCTCCTGTATCTCTTAGCTCAGGAGTAAACGGCTTGAAAGGACCCAAACTGAAGCTTTTGATTTTCATCCCAAACAAACACCACTTGTTTTACCTCTCAAAGCTCTCATGCACTTCCATAAAACTTTTTCACCAGCTCTGCTCAGCAGAAAGCAGTCTCTGCCTAGATTAGACCTCTTTTATGTAGTTGGTTTTATTCTGTTAGGTAAATTGCTCTGATCCTAAAATAATGCATTTCTGTACTTTGATGACATTTAATTTAGAGGTGTCTCAGCAACAGGCACCACTTTTACCCATAGGGAAAACAAATTGTTCTTCCCAGCAGCAGAAGCAGCACAAATAACAGTGATGTTTTCCTTTAGATTTTTTAACTCCCCAGGGTTGCTTTGGCCAGTGGTCACAACCCAGGGAAGGGCAAAGGCAGCTTGAGATGAAGCTCCTCTCAGTAATACCTGGGAAGGAGCAGCCTCAATAAAGCCATTTCATGGGATGGGGACAGCCCTGCAATGCTCAGCCCTAAGAAAGGATGGCTGTGGATCCCAGCATGGTGACTCTCCAGAGTCAGAAATACCTGAAGCACTCGGAGTGCCTGTGCTCAGCAGTCTCTCCTGCCCTGTCATTCAGGTCACCTCAGATCCACAGTCCCCATCAGCCTGCAAAAGCCTTCTAGTTTAAGGAAAAAATTCTGCCAGATTTCTAAAGATGAACTTTTTATAGCACAGATTTCCCAACAGCCCTGTAATGACACACTGCAATGGCATGAATTATTCAGCAGTGAGGATAAGCTGAGCTGCAGCAGTGCTGGCAGTCTCCCAGTGTGGGCTGACTTTTGCTCCTTTGATCTCTAGGGCGGATCTACAGCAGCTCAGCATCCCCCATCTTTTTTTCACATGCCAAGCTCTTTTTTTCAGCTGCAGCCCCACTTTTGGCATAAATATGGAGATGAAAAACCAAGGCCCAGCTTTGGTGAGGCAGAGAAAAGCTCAGCCCTACAAGCTCAGAAGCTCTGCCCACAACCTACTTGCACAAATGAGGTCAAAAGAAAAATTAAATTTTCCAAGCAGCAAAGCTGGAACACTTTTATTTGAAACATTCACTGGGAGGGGAAATCGTGTGTGCTGTGTGGGGGTGGGAGCAGCACAGGATGGGATCCTGGCTGCCTGCTGGGCTCCACATCTCCTGCTCACTTCTTTTGGAAGAAGAACCCACACTTCACACCCCCAAAGCCTTTACACATAAAAAATAGATCATATTTATTGATTAAAGTAAGATACATGATTCAGGTGCAGCACCAGCTCTCCTGCTGGGCAGGCACCTGTGCTGTACACTGACAATATCCATAGGCACAAGACATGGACGTGACCATTGCTATATTTACACAGACAAGTTTCTTGGTTACTGAGCAGCCTACAATACACAAGTGTCAAGTTTTCGTGTCCATCATTGACCCCTGGCTCAGCAGAGCCCCTCACACCACCTGAGTCACCAGCACAAATTGCCCCATCTTCAAACACCCCTGCTCACCCCATTAAAAGGGAAGAGCTGCCAAACCCATTTAATGCTTCTGTGATATCCCAGCCCCCTTAGAAATGAGGTCTTCACTGCTGCTTGCAAAGTGAGTTTGGATGCCCAGTGCCAGGCTGGGCACATGCCTTGGCACACAGCTGTCCCTAAAATGTGGCCAGCCTTCTTCAAGTGCTCTACTAGCAGGGCAAGGGGAAGCATCACACATCCCCTGCTCCTCACAGCACTCCCTCCTCTGCTTGACAGTTCTGACTCAAACCCAACCCCAAGGGCCACTCTGGGGTCAGTACACAGAGAAGGACATGAATATTGCACTTGTCCCGCTTGTGTCATGCCCTGGAGCCCCTTCCCAGCCCTGGGTGCTTCCTCTCTATCCCCATGGTGCCCTCCAGAGGGAGGATTTGAGTTAAAGCTTTGCTCTGCTCCCGACCAAGCCAAAACCTTCCCCAGCACAGCCTTGGACAAGACAAGATGAGCCCCAAGTGATGCAGAGAGCAAAGAGGGGCTGGAAAGGGGCAGAGACGTGGCACAGACCCACCCCACACCTGGCCATGGGTGCACATAGTGGCATGTGGCACCCAGAGCTGCAGCAAAGGGGCACAGTGCAGACACAAGCAGCAGGAGAGAGGCAGGGACACTGTTCCACACAGCCCTCCCCTCACAGAACCCAGCCAAACACCGAAAATAACTGCAAACCTCAGCCTCCAGCAAAGATGGGAACACAGCCCACTGGTGCTGTACTCAGCCTCCTTTCCCACCAACAGCAGCCTTTGTCCACCCCCAGGGAGACATGGCTGCAGTGGGATGAGGGATGAAGGCTCTCCAGAGAGAGCTGGCAATTGGGAGATGCTGTGAGCAGGCAGGAGTTCGACCTGTCCTCTGGAGGACGCATTTGCTCCCTTGTCTTAAAAAAGTAGAAATCCAGTAGAAAGGTGAGGAAACTCTCTAGGGAGGAAGTTGGGCTCTCAGAGAAAGGAAAGCAGCAGTGCCACGGGACCATCCCCACCAGGCATGCACCAGCCACGACAAAAGAAGCAACAGGAGCACAGGGAAAGGTGCCAGGGAGCTGCATCCTACAGGAAGAGAGGAGCTGGGCAGAAACAGAGGATGCAGAGGGAGTGCAACCAGGAGAGGAAGGGTTAAAAACAGAAATATTATGGAGTTTTTGTGTGTGATTTGACATTCAGTATCAGCCTGCAGAGGCAGGCAGAGCGTGCCAGGGCCAGCTCAGGCACTGTAAACAAGGTGATGTATCCTTGTGGTGTGTGGGCAGCATGTGGTGACCCCTGGGGAAACCCCCTCCCACCCAAAGGGGACCAGCTCAGCCCCTCATTATGGCAGAGCCTGTTTGCTCCCCACACACCTCAGTTCTGTAAAGCTTCTGAAAGCCAAGCGCTGGGTTGGGATGGGGATAAAGAAGTGTCACTACTGAAAGCGTGGACCAAGGGTCAGCAAAACCTCCCAGTGCCCAGCTCCAGGGCCTGCTCAGACTTCCTGCTCAAGGCAGCTGGAAACAGAGCTGAAGCACTGCAGGAGCCAGTGCCCATGGATGGGGATCCCACTGAGAGAGTGTGGGCCCCAGCATGCCCCGCACCTCAGGCTCTGCCCACCCTCCCAACAAGGCCAAGGTGAAGAGGGAGCTCCACACTCTCTAACCTGAGCTGAGGTTTGTCTGTTGCTGTAAAAATAAAGTGCTCAGGGAAAAAAAAAATAAAAATCAAACTGGCACAAAAAAGAGTAGTCCCTGTTCCCCGCCCTGACTGAAGGGACAGGGGAAATATGGAAAGGTTGGGATTTTAAAAAATAATAAAATAAAATCTACATCCCCGGGATTCCTCACCTCTCAAAGTGCCTATTTACAGAGGAACTGTTTTGCTCTACCACCTGCCCTAAGAGCCCCCAGGGAAGGCACTGCCCCAGCCTGGACCCCACCTTCCAGACAGAGCCCAGGGCAGGATCCTGCTGCAGCTGGGCCGTGGTGCTGGGCAGCCCCATCCTCTCACAGACCAAACCCACCACGCTTCCCAAGAGGAGAGGGGAGCAGTGCCCGGTGTCCATGCAGCCCCAGCTCAGCACCCAGAGGGGCCAGCGGGGCGAGGGGACGGTCACTGCACCAGGACAGTGGTGGCATTCACCACGGTGGCCGCGGGTGCCACCAGCTCCACCAGCGCCTCGTACGTGCCCACCACGAAGCCCACGAAGCCGAAGAGGCTGATGGCGATGTCCTTGGCAATGACAAGGGGGTGCATGCCCTCCGAGTAGTAGGTGGCAATCTCCAGCAGCGGGGGGAAGATGAGAGCCAGGGCGCTGCTGCTGACGGAGCCAACCAGGGAGATGACGAGGTCCAGGCGCGGGATGAGGATGGCCAGCACGCCTGGAGAAAGAGCAAGCACGACATCAGTGCTGCCACCTCCCAGATGGCAGAAAGGCTCCTCCCCGTGTCAAAGCTAGCAAAACCCCACCCAGGCAGGCCACTGGCTCAGTCCCACCTCTGCCCTCCTCCCTGACACAAGACAAGGCTGCATATTTTTCCAGCAACACCTCCCCAAGAAGCAATTAAGCTGTTAAATTAACGAGCCTTTTTGTCGCCCTGGGCGCCACCGGAGCGAGCTGCAGGGCTGAGCAGGATGGGTGCTGCTGGCTGCCAGCATTCCCGACCCCCCTGTGCGAGCCAGCACTCCTGCTCCCCACACCTGGGGAGCCATAAAGCCTCAGAAACCCCATAAAAGCAGGAGAAGGGGAGAAAAAGGCATCTCCCCCCACCCCAAATCAATCCGTGTGGTTTGCGTGTGTTTAGAGCTGCTCCAGCAGCAGCACACCCACGGCACAGCCCGGGGGAGAACATTTGTTAGGAATCATTTGTTAGGTGAAAACTGCAGCCAAGGAAAATCCCCCTGGGAGACTCCTGACAGCTCGAGCTTAGCAGTGTGAGCTTCAGCTTTGGGATATTCCTGCTCCTCCTCCTGCATGGCACCAGGAGGGGACAGAAGGATGTCAGAACACAAGAGAACTCCCTGCAAACAAAGCAGACTTCAGTGCTTAATCAGTGACCAAGAGAAATAAATTGGTTTATTGCTATGAAAGCTTTTCTGCTTAGAAACAGGAGACACCTAGAAGGGCCAATGTGGAGCAGCCCCTGTGGAGAAGGGACATCTCAGGGCTCCTTATTGGAGGGATTTGTTCTCTCCCTGGCCATCAGCTATAGGCAAGAGAGGCTGTTAGAGCCTCCCTGAGCCAAAGATCACCCGTGGAACTACAGAAGAAGGAAAGTTTGGGAGACTGACTGTGCCACTACTGCATCACTGCTGTTATCTGGATAAGCCTAGAGATAAACCATCCCTTCACCAAGGGAAACAGCAACAAAGGTCCTGAGCCAGTTTATCCTGGTGCTCAGCCCTGAACAGAGCTAAATGAGTGCTCTGCTGCAAGCAGCATCCCTGCTCCAGCAGCCTCTGAGGAGTGCAGAGCAGCTCCCCTCCAACAGCATCCTCAGCCCACCCCACACTGCTGTTTGGACTCAAAACTAAACAAAATTATTAACTCCCCTCTAAAACAAGCAGATTTGAAGCACCAGCTGCAGTCCTCAGCCTCCGGGGAAACGGTCTGATTTCTGCAGGTATTAATTCAAAGAGGTTTTAAGCATGCTGGTTTTGAAGTTTAAGCTTGAAAGAGACCCATACACCAGATTGCATCCTCTCTTTAGAAGCCAAAGCCCTGGTGGGGGCTTGTTGTGCAGCCACACAATCCTCCAATGAATATTCATGCAACCCCCCTAATGGCTTTTATCCTCGGCAGGAGCCACAGAGATCCCTTAATGGAAGGGTGAGGGGAGGAGGTACAAAGGAACCTGCATCCTTCCACCAACACCTCTGCTGCCTCCCTACCCCCAAACAGGAGGGCACTGCCGATGCCTAAAGCCATCCCAACTCTCCTTCACTTCCATGGCTTGGCACAGCCCAGCACCCCCCCGGAGAGGCTCCAACCCCACAAGCAACTTCCAAGTTCACCCACAGCACGAGGGTGGCCAGAGCATATCACCCTGCAGGGCAGGATTTCATCCCTGCACCCTCTGAGGACATCAAGGCTTCAGGAACTCAGCACAGAGGAGATGGGCTTTGCCCACCTCTGTTAATGCACTGCTTCAGGCCTTTCATTAGTGAGAGCCAGAAGCAGCAGCACCCTGCTGCACTCAGCCAGCTCCACCACCCTGACTTAGCACCTTGCTCCTCTCAAACCCAAGCCCAAGCCAGCTGGGGCACAGGGCCAGGTCCCTGATGCTCAGCTCTGGTGCATCAGCAGCATCAAGCCATGGAGCAAAGCTCCATTTCAGCAGGGGACGCCAGGGAGCTCAGTCAAGCATCTCAGCTGTGCTGACAACAGCAAGCATTTGGTCCTCAGGAATCAAAGCCAGCCAAAATCAGAGACCACCTGATTTGCTCCACACCTTTCCCAAAGGTCCACCAGGCTCAAGTCAGGAGCCTGATCCACCAAAACTTCACTACGGGCCCCAGAGACCATGAAGGGAAGGGACCCTGTGGGGCTGCTCCAGCAGCACACCAGAGCTCTGGTTATGGCCTCCCCCCTGTCAACTGCCTCCTGCTGTGCTCCATGCTGCAATGAGTGTGTGGGCACAAGAACAGCTCACAGTCAGTGACTCCTTTGCAGCCCTGTCCCCATCACACAGGCACGAGGAGCCTGGCTGCACACTGCCTACAGAAAACAGCCTCTAGGCTAGGCTGCCCTGGCACTGAACCCTGTGCTGGGTGGTCCACGCAAACCCTGGTGGGAGTCGACGTCCTGCAAAACTGCCATCCCCAGGCCTGAGGCTCCATGGGGATCCTGCCACTTCTAGACAATGCAGTTTCCTACTCCTCTACTGAGAAGACTGGTCCCATACAGGGGGTCAAAGGACCACTGCTGCTGCTCCTTGGAGGTGCCTTGTTTAGCCAGGCCCAGGGACTACCAGCTGTGAGGGCTAAAGGCGCTGGGGCCAGGGGTGAAGGCTCAGTGGGAAGGAGGTGCCACAGCATCACAGGGAAGGTCAGACAAGGAGGTTTGTACTCACAGGTCACACAGACCAGGGCCATCCTGAGGAGCAGGTTGACCAGCCAGCCCCAGCGCTCTGACACCCGGGCCACGAGGGGAGGGATGATGATCTCGGCAGGCACGTAGAACTGCACGGCGTAGGTGAAGAAAATCCCAAAGGAGAAGAGCAGCTTGACAGCTTGGTACAGCCTGCAAAGGACACGGACACAGTGAGACAGGCTCTTGCTCCAGCCCCTGCCACATCAGCAGCAGAAAAGGATGCTCTGCAAGGACTTTTGTGAGCTAGGGGTCTAAACTCCTGAACATCCTTAAAAAATTAGGGGTGATGCATTTAATTCACAAGGACCTTCACAGAGCAAGAGACAGCAAAGATGTACCAGCTGCAGCCATGATTACACATTCCAGCTGCTGCTTGGCTTCTGAGGAGGGGGAAAAGGACAGCACTGCTGGGATAAGTCTGGGCTTCCGTGCAGAGTGAACATCACAATGTTCCAAAAGCAAAGTCATGTGAACAGGCAGCTCAGTCTCCTCCATCAAACAAAAAGAGCAGCTATTTTTGGAATGCTGCATGGTACATGTTTGGGGGGAAGAGAGTTAAAAGAGCAGTTTGGGCTGAGCAGAAGGCAGGCAGAGTGCAGAGAGGCTGCAAACAGCACCTTGGGCTCACCCCAAGTCAAATCGCAGGGTGTCCCAGATCCTGCAGTGATACAGTGTGGCTGCAGGAGAGAGCCCGTCTCAAGTGACCAAAAGGCACCTCCCAGCCCCATCTCTGCCCTCAGCTTCCCAGCAGCAGAAAAAGCCTCTCCAAAAGAGAAGTAACATCTGGTTACCTCACATATGGTCCTAACCCTTCCCCAGCTCAAGACACACTAATCAAGCAGGAAACATGGGTCCTGGCCATACTACTTGGGTAAATAAGGGGTGGATCCAAGCTGAGGAATGTATCTGGCTCCTGCCTTCCCTCTACCTTCTTTGGGCCTGTGCCCTTCTGTATGCTGGGTCTCAGCACCCACCTTCTACAACAGCCTTAAATCAGAGAAATCCAAGTATTCCCATGCAAGGCAGCTTTGAACACTAGTGGCAGAGTCTGGCAGAGTCAAACATTTCCCACAGATGGAGTCAGGGATCACCTAACTGAATGGAATGTTACACAAGTCTATGGGACCAGTCCAGATGTATTCAAGGTTGCAGCAAACAGGAGCCTGAAGCCACCTTATCATCTTCAAAAGAGCAGGGTGCTCAGGAAGAGGACTTATTGCCTTGGGAGAAGAATAATATCCACCTTCAAGAAGGATGAGAGAAGGTACAGGCTAACCAGCCTCACCTCAATCCCCAGAAGAATATAGGTTAAGTGCTCCTGGTATCTATTTCCAGGCACATAGTGGACAGTAAACAGCCAGCAGGGATTTGCCAAGGGGTAATCACGGAAATATCCTCACCAGTGACCTGGATGAGCTTTCAGTGACCCAGAGCACATTCTCATCAAATTCCAAGCAAGATCAAATTGGAGGAAATGTCTGACACAGCTCAGAGCAACAACATGATGTCACAAGCAAAGTTCAAGTGCAAACACAAATTCCCACACATGTGAAGGGCTGGGGCCAGGAGAACAGGACCTGGGGGTCTTGGTGAGCAGAAGACTGAACATGAGCCAGTAGCAGGACCCTGCAGTGATGAAGGTCAATCACAAAGCAGGCTGTGTTAGCAAAAGCACAGCCAGGAGGTGAAGGACAGGGATCAAGAGATTATTTTCTTGTTTGGGGCTTGTGCATCTTGAGTATTGTGTCCAGCCCTGATACTCCAGCACAGGACACTGACTTATTCTGCAGAGCAAGTTGAGTGCAGGCTACTAAAATGGTTGAGGCTGGAGCATGATGTCTAAAAAGAGGCTGCAAGCCCTGGGCTTGTTCACCGTGATGAGAAGGTTAAAAGGGGATATTATTAATGTCTTCAGCTGCCTAATAGGAGGGCATGGAGGAGAGAGTAACAGCTCTTCTTGGAGTTGCACAGAAGAATAACCAGGTGCAATTAGACAGAGCTGCATCTTCAAAGGATGGTTCAGGGCCTGGATTGGTAGGCAATCACTGTCCTTACTGATAGTCAACACTTAAGCTGGTGAGAGGACCCAGTGATCCCATGGTGTCCTCTCCAACCTGAATTACCCTGAGGTTCCAGACACAAGCTGAACACAAAGTTACCTCCAGAGTCCAGAGTGCACCTGTGCAGCCACACGCGTGCACAGGAGCCTTGAGCCACAACCCATGGCTGGCATATCTTATCACTGCATTCCCAAGAAAGGGATTCTATAAAAGCCATAAAGTGCTCCAGGGCAATCTAAGATTAATAGTTGTTATTAAAACAAGTACAGAGGAAGGCTGTGTACCTGTCCTGCACAGGTCATGAACCATGACAACAAGATCAAAGGGCGTTTTAAATACCCTTTAAAAGAGGAAGAATTCAAGCATTACCCTTGATCCACAGAAAACAAAAGGCCCATGCAGGGCCTTGGAGAGGCACTCTGCCAACCACAGCAACGCCTGCTTCAGCCAGATTGCCATGCCAGGCCATCCCAAAAGGCTGCAAGAAGTGAAATACTCTCCTGGGACCATAAGCTCTGCCATTACCTTCAACTGGCCACATGCAACCCAACAGCTTCCCCCTCATTACAGCATTTCTTCACCCTTCACATAGTGCAGTGAGGCAACCCTTCCTAGGAGGCAAGGAAGAATTTCTGCATAGCAGCACCATATTTTGGACACTGTGGTTAGACCTGAGCACTGGGAACTGACACACTCCTCATTTGAGGAAGCTGTGGTTTCAGAGAAACGAGACTGGAAAAGTCCTTAGTCACCCTGCAACTCAACGATTCCTGCAGCACTCACCAAATCTGCTCCAGAGACCTCCAGGCAATGGCTGCAGCTAAGGAAGGCTGCAGAACCTCCACCACAATCCTTGCCTTGTCTCCCAGGCTGCAGGCAAACCCCATGACTTCTCACCCACAGTCCTTATGACCAGCACCTACAGCCAGCCTTTTACTGCCAGGAAGAAAACCCATGGGCGAGGCAGGATGGGCAAGACTTTCATTTCAAGAGCAAGTCTTCACCCAGCACCTGTGGTTTAATCTACAGGAGTGGTAGTGAAGGCTTTATCTCAACTGTCACAGCCCTTACTCGAGATAACCCATTTCCAAGTCCAACATCCACTGCCAAGAGGCAACATGCACAAACATCAAGGGTGACAAGTGACAAGGACCACAGCACACCTTCCCTGCAGCTGGCCTGCCACATGCCCAGGCTTCCCCAGACACTGCTTCCAAAGGGCTATTCTCTTCTCACTATCCAAAAACCCTATGGCTACTTTTAGAAAAGTAACTTTAGAATGCTTCCCTTTCAGAAAAGTAGTTTACTTTAAGAAAAGACAGAAGGTGTGGATACTCCTACAAACATGGATTTGCACTCTTCTCTCTGTAGCCTAGCAGGTCAGAATAATCCCATTCTAAGGACCTGTTCTAAGGGAATGTCATTCCTCAGGGCACACAGAACTGAGATTCCCTGCAGAAGCCCCTTTACAGCATTTCAGGTCAGCAGATATCATTGCAGGCTGTGGCATGCAGAGCCCAAATCTGGAAATGACCTGCTTTCCACCTTCAGGAGAAATAGCAGCATCTCATCCCCTCCACACTGTACTTCAGTTTACTGAGCAGAAGGGATTCACACCTCCTGTGCTTGGCATGGTGGGATTCAGACCTCCCTATAACACAGGCACATCCTTGCACCAGCCCCATCCCTCCTCACTGAGAGCAGGGACCTGGCAGAGCTCCCAACACCTGCAGGGGACAGGACAAGGCTCTTGGCAGGAGCAGGATCATCTACCACAGCAACACCAACATCCAGCAGTGCAGTCACTACACAGACCCAGCATGAATGAACATCCATGCACTCAAACTGAAAAGAAACCCACACAGCAGTAATTAAAGCAAAACCAGGCTCTATTTTTGTCAAATCTTTGCTGTCTTCAGAGCCCCAGCTGTGCGGCTCTACCAGGACAGCATGTGGGAGCACCAGTGACTCAAAACTTGAGTCCTGCCCAAATTTACTCCAACAGTGAGACAGTGAGTCCCACTGCAAGGTGCTGGGTGCTACTAGGAGCAGAGAGGATGGGCTGAAGTGGAGGACAGGCACCCCCAGCTCCAGGTCTCACTCTGGTCTCTTGCAGGATTTCAAGCCAATAGAGACCATCAAAGAGGACTGCTTGCATTTCTCCTGTGGAAGAATATGGAGCCATGACACTGAGCAGCCACCCATCCTCAGGGACAGAGCAGCACACAGCTTGGGAAGCTGCTGCAGCAGCCACCAGCCCTGGCAAGAGGAGAAACAACCCCTCCAGGCAGGCAGGCATGGGGTCAGGCATCAGGGCTCCAGAGAGAATCTGAAGCATCTCAAAAGGCTTCACCAGATCCCAGAGGACAGACAGGTTTGGGAGGCTGCTGCAGAGCTCACCCCCCACAGAAGGAAGGGGTATTCTCATGGCACCAGTGCTCACAGGCAAAGCATTGGCTCAAGATGAGCCACATCCAGGCACAACGTGGAGCCCAGAAGTGGGAGTTTCAGCTCCAGGCCTGCAAACAAGGAACACAACCCACACATGAAGATGTCACATCTCACTCCGGGAGCTCCCAGCTTTGGATTGGTTTTTCACGTGCTACATTTGAGGAAGAGAAGTTTTGCAGAATTCAGTGATGTTCTGGTACGGCTGCATGGGGGTTGTGTTCAACATCTGCTAGTTAGTGCACTGCTGAGCCCCCAGAAAATGCCACAAGGCTCCAAGAAAAAAACAAGAGCTGCACCTACCCAGGCAGGGACCTTCAGGGACCCTGATGAAGCAGCCTGAGCTCCAAAACCATGCTCAGACACTACAGCAACAAGCCTCTTCCAGCACATGCATCTGACAATCCTTGTCAAACTCCTTGAAGTTTGCCTATGGCACAGTTCCTCAAGATTCCTCAAGCTCACCCAGATTAGCTCCCATTAGGAGTGAGGTCCCGCTCTCCCACCTGCCTATCTGGGCCCCTCATTCCACACCCCCCAGTCCCTCCACTGCCCACAGGGACTCACCAGCAGTTGGGCAGGTTGAGTGTGATGCTGGCCTGAATGTCTGTCCCGAAGCGCAGGTAGCCCAGGACACCCAGGCTGATGTACAGGATGGTGACAATGCTCATCCCCACGTACAGGATCACTGGGAACTGACGGGGCTTCTTCATCTTGTTCTCCAGAGGCAGCACCTGGGAGAAGAGGAGGAGGAAGATGACAGAGCAGCAGGTTGCTCGTTCCTCTATACCCCCCTCAGCCCCAAAAAGAAGGAGGGGCAGCCCTATGGTCAAGCACAGCCCACCATGCCAGGATGGGATAGTCCCACGTGGAGCCTGGAGAATCCAGCTGAAAAAAAACTATACTGGAGATCTGATTTCTGTGCTCCCACTGGAGCACAGCAATTGTATTAAAAATGGGACCTGCTCCCTGCCCCTGACAGGAGCTGTGCCCAGTGCTGGGTCTTGGGGCAATGCCAACCACCCATATCTTGGGTGCATTATGCTCTGCACCCCAAAACAGCACAGCCATGCCCACTGTTTCACATCGTCCTATTTTCCCCAGTAAATTCTGGAAGACCACGACACACTCTTCTCTACTAGCAAGTTTATCTGGACAGATTTCAACCAGGCAGGACAATAAAAAGAGCAAGGAGAGGTAATTCTCCCACCTCTATACTACTGACACTAAATATAGGCCTTCAGCAAACAATTTTATAGCTGTCCTTGGGTGGTGTTGATTTCAAGAAGAGAGACAATGGCAGATCTGGTGAGGAGGCAGGACAAGAAAAACTTTTATTTGCTTCTTCACCTCCAAGTCAAGAGAGGAAGAGAGCATTTGTGCCTCAGTGCTGGCAAGAACTCTCTGCCCAGGGCATAGCATTCAGTAAGCACTCCTCCTGTAATGGATTTGGCCCTCTCCAGCCCTGTGTTTACACAGCCAGCTTATATTAAGAGATGAAAACATTTTTTCCTCCTTTGAAGGGAGCTCCCGGAAACAACTCACAACATCTTAGGGAGTAATTAAGCTCTCCACCCACCCACCCAGCTTTTTTCACAGACACAGTTGGTCTATTTACAGCAACTTGCATGAGAGGCCCATTTGCATGGGCAGGCTGGGGCCACGCTGCTGCCAAAGGGAGATCTCAGTGCCCCCGCAGCAGGGTGGGAAGGGAAGGATCACATTTTTTCATGCCACACTTTTTGGCCTCCCATTTAAGCAACTTCAGGATCCAGCCTGGTTACAAGACTCAGGACAATTCCTCATCTGCAGGTCAGCCAGCAGAGCCCAAGGCAGAGGCTGGTGTGATTCCCAATCTACTGCCAGATAAAGCCACCTCTGAAGCAGCAACCAGCCTCCTGAGGTTTGGAGCACGTGCTCTTCCAGCCTCAGATGGAAGCACCAGAGTTTGACCCAGGAGATAGCCTGGAGCTAAAGCTAACAGCACCATCCAGAATTTGGGCTACTGTCAGAAAAGTTCAGCTGCAACTGCAGCTGCAAAGCAGAGCAGGTGCTGCAGCAAGTCCGAGCAGGGCTGAGCCTCCTGTGCAGCATCCCCACTGCCACATGCCCAGACTTACCACGCCAATGCCTTCAAAAGCAAAGATTGCAGTGCCAAAGAACAGAGGGTAGGTCTTCCAGGCTGCTGCTAGAGGCAGGTTTCTGGGATCAGGAATATCCTGGAAAAAAGCCCATGCAGAGTTCAGACACAGGGAGGATGGGGAAGACCTGGCCTGTTCCCATCACTCCCTGTCACAGCCCCACGCTGCAGGGAAAGCCCTGCAGAGCAGAGGGAACCATCATGCCCACAGAAACAAGCAGTACCCCACAGCATCCAAATGCCCCATTGCCAAGCTCCCTCCACCTGCCAAAACATGGGAGAGCACAGGAATGGGAGAGGGGAGCCATACACACGTACCCTGACAATGTACTGGTAGATCACTACAAGGCTGACAAGCATGGCCACGTTGGCCAGCATGGAGAAGATGGACAGGACCTTGAGGTTCTGGATGAACGTGAGCAGCACCACGAAAGGCAGGATGGAAAGCATGTACAGGCGGGAGTCCATGGTGGGAGTCATCACCACTGTCCTGTTTGGGCTGCAGTCATTGGTGGTCCCATTTGCAGCAGACACAACCTGGGGAAGCACAGGAAGCCCTGGTGAACTCCATCACACAGGTCTAAAAGCCACAGATCTTAGCAGCCCATCCCAGGTGGGTCAGAGTACCTCAAGAGGTCACTTCAAGCACAGCTAGCTGATTAAAATCAAACAAACACATGTCTTCACACAGCTCTGAAGCAAATCCCTGCCATCTTGCAGGGGGCAGAGGTGGAACTGGCTATGGCACCTGAGCCAGGATAGCAAATCCTGCCCAAGCCCAGATACACCGAGCAGGAGGACTCAGCAGCCAGGCACACAGAGGGCACAAAGCACAGGCTGCATCTTTGCACTGCCCACGAGGTCAGTTGAGAAGAAAGAGGCACTAAGTGCTATTTCCAAAGGTATCCTTTCCCTCTTGCTGCACCAAGTTGTTCTCTAAGTCACACAGTCCTTCAGTTACCCAGTGCCCTGTTCACATGCAAGGACATCTGCAAACTACTGCTGGCCCCCAAGTTCACTGTCTCATGACAAACCATTCTTTCCTTGGAGTCTTTCATTCCAAAGGCACTCCAGGCCATGTGCTCACTTCTAAAGGCAGCTCAGGCCTAGGAACCGGGTGGCTGAGCCATCCCTCCCAAGAGCGTGGGCTCCCTGAATCACCAAAACAACCATGACCAAGCTGGTTCAGGTACCAGGTCCTGTCCAGTCACTGCAGCAAAGAGCAGTCTGCAAACTGATTTAACCTGCTCCAGAGCAAGTCCTGCCCCAGAGGAGAGGCTGAAGAACTCTGTGTAAACCAGCACCCTCTGTGGGAGAGGGCAGTGCAGGGCCATGCACCCATGGGACAGTGCTGCTCAAGCCCCAGCCTGCCCTGCCTCTTCGTGGCTTGCTCCAAAGCCATTTTCCAAACCAAAGCCCTGCCCAACACAGTGGCACCTCGCCCAAGGTACCACCTGCACTATGACTCTCCACCTAACACTCTATTCCTCACCACAAAAAGAAACAAGCAACACTCCCCTCTCCCCACCCAAAAAAATTCCAAAACCAAAGCCAAGGGGTTTCCCACCTGTGGCCTAAAAAACTGGTGCGAATTTGCAGGTTTTTGAAAATTTCCCCTGAGGCTTGAGACAGCCTTCAGTCTTTGCTGTGAGGGGCTGAGGAGAAAGAACAGGGGGCTGTTCCCAGGGGTGGGGGCCAGCAGCAGCCTGGCCCCTGCACACACCCTGGTCCCTCCTGCTCTCAGGGCTGGTGGATCACCAGTGTTGACCTATTTACTCCTCCTGCCACCCAACAATGGGAATCTCCTCACTGCTGCTGCAAGAGCAGAGGAAGAATCTCACACTGGAGGGACCCCCTCTTGCTCCCCAGGAGCCCCCTCTGAAGCTGATGGCCACCACTGAAAAGCTGACAAAGGGCACAGCCATGGTGGCAGTGACCAGAGCACAGCAGGAACACATGGGGAAAAAAGCTGAGCAGTGCCTGCAAGGCACTGAGCTGGTGGAGGCTGGGAATGGGGACTCATTATCCCCAGTTTCTTGCAGAACAGGAGCCAGCCAAGCGGTTCGGGGTTTCTGTTTATTTCCTCCTGAGGCCTGGCAGGAAGAAACTCTTTCTCTAAAGATGTAATTAAGCTTCAGAGCCACAGGATGAGGAAAGAAACTGGAATGCAAACAGATCCAAGGAAGGGAGAAGAGAGGTTCACAGCAGGTCTTGGGACTTACACGTTACCATCGACACCAATAAACCAATTACTGAGGGGGACAGGATAGAAAATGCACAGAGTCTCTGCTTTCATCCCTTTCCTGTTGTTCCCTCACTAAGGATTGCCTCACTTTTCCTAAGCAACACAGACACCTCCAGCACCTCTGCAAAATCACAGAGATTCTCAGGAAAACCTGCTCTGTTTGAACAGGAAAACCAATCCTCAAAAGTATCTGGGCAGAGGAGCGGCCTTTTCAGAGCAGCATATCCTACAGAAACCAGACCTTTGGGGGAAAACAGGGCACAGGAGCTAAGAAAAACCCAAACACCTTCACACCCTCTCACCTCCCCCCAGCTCATGAAGGAGGTGTAAGTCCAACCTGTTTCAGATTGTCCGCCAGAAAGACAAAGTACACGCAGCAGAAACCCAGCTGAGTGATGATCAGGAAAAGTCCCACTATACGCCTGCAAAGCAAAAGAACAGCATTTGTTAGCCAGATCATAAGGAAATAAGAGCCCACTTGGGTTGCACTTGCAGAGCACAGCAATGCTGCTCTCCCCAAGGTTGGGGTGTACAGGTCAGAGCACACCCAGCTCACTTCTCTGTGATCAGGAGAGAGGACCTTCTCTCCACCCAACCTCATAGATCTCAGGCTCTCCAGTCTCCCCCTCTCAGCCTTTCACAAGGTCAGGACCAGCCTTAGGAGAAAAGTCTCCCTTTTAGGTTCAGCATATCCAGTCTGTTGCTGAATTGTCAGAGCTGGAGGCAACATTCCCTGGACACAGGAACAGGTGATTGCTCCCATCCCCTGATGGGCAATGATCTGTGTGATGCAATGTGGGACACCCACAGGGCAGGGAGCAGCCACTGGACACGTTCCATGTCTAGCAAGATGGGCCAGCACTGCAAGACCCTACTCACCCCTTTGTTATGCTGTGGAGACTTAGCTATCCCACACATTTAGTGTAAGTCACATCTGGCTGGGGACAGTACTGGATCAAAGACCTCAGCATTACCCTCTGGGGGACACTGAGCACTCAGGGCAGGTGAGCCAAAGAGCATTTTATGGCACTTGTGCTTATCTGCTGACACAGCTCAGTGACCAGAGGCTCTTCTGTCCCAGTTGCAGCACATGCTAGGCTCAAAGACAGGTCCCTGCCTGGGGCAGGGGAACAGTACCTTCCCCAGATGGCATGTGTCCTCAGGCAGGCACTGGGAGTTGCCTCCAGCCCATACATCACAGCACCTCCATAGTCCAGGAACTGCTTCTGGAACCTGTCCAGAGAAGGGAGAAGGATCATCACATCAGCCCCGTGTGCTAGTTCCCAAGGCAAATAGTGACATTAAAAGGAAAACGGTTCCTGTGAAAAAGATGAGAAGTTCCCAACTGAGGATTTGGCATGAGCAACTTGCTGCTGAGGGGCTTCAGAAAAACCCCAGGGCTTTTTGGGCAAGAGGGAAGAACTGTAGGAGTTGCAGGGCTGAGAAGGGGAGTTGCTCCTTACCTGTTGCAGAAGTGATGGGCACATTTGACCAGGATGCCCATGCAGTGCACAGCCACAACTCCCATCACCAGCAGGCTCAGAGGACCCAGCTGCAGGGAAGAGAGGGGGAAGGCTGCACTCTGATGGCCAGAGGCAGAGCTGCACTGTGCCTTCTACTTCCAGACAAAACTCCACGGGCTGGGTGAGTGCAAACACTGCTGGAGGCTGAACCAGAGCTCTGGTGCAGCTCCCAGGAACAGCCCCCCAGGACCAAGTAACCTGACAGAACCACGAGCTTGGCAGGAATGATGCAAAATAAGAAAGTTGGGGCAGTTTGGCTGTAGCAAAACACTTCCAGGATTGTTTTCCAAACTATTTTGCATATCTCTACTATACAGGTGATGAAGAGGTCATGACCTGGACACAGTGTCCTGCCTGACCCCAGCAGAGGAAACCACAGGCCCAGCTCACACACTCACCTCCCCCATACCAGGCAGCAACAATGCAGGAGCAGCAGGAACAGTCTCAGCAGTGAAACAAAGCCACAGAGCTTCAGGTGCAAACACGGGCAAGTCACCAAACAATGAGAGGTGATTGGGCATGGACTCAAGCCCCAAAACCCCCAACACTGGCCATGTGAGCTGCCCAGTGCCTCGGGGTCACTCTGCCCCACAAGCTCCAGCACAGCAGGGCTGAGCTGCCTTACCAGGATGCCAGCATTCTTCACAGCCAGAGGCAGCCCCAGCAGCCCTGTCCCAATATTCCCCTTCAGCAGATGGATCAGGGTCTGGTACCACCTGAGGGAGAGCAGATGCAGAGGTCACTGTCAGCAGGTGCCCACACCCAGACTATACACAGCTTATCCTGTTAAGGGTCCACAGCAGCTCTGAATTGCTGCAGGGAATGCACATGGAGGTCATGATCCTGTCCCCTGAACCCACCTCAACCAGCTGGGACCCAGCTAGGTGTGAAAGCAAAGACTGAACAAACAGATTTTGGATGGGCATTTGCAAAACCAACTTCATGGCAAAACCCAGCATAAGCACAGCCCAGCACCAAGGACCTGCATAAGGAAGTCCCTGAGGTGAAGGGATCAGTCTCTGTCAGGCAAAGACAGCATCCTCTGCACACCTGGGCACAAGGAAGCCCCCAGACCACGGCTGGCTCTGAATGTGGGCATGCTGTTTGCTTGCCAGAGTTCCTCATTGAATGAAGGTGGAATGGGAAAATATTGGGAAAAGCATCAATCACTGCCCACTGCCAGCAAGCCCAGCTTCAGCAGAGAGCAAAGAGCTACAGTGGGGCAGCTGCCACTTGGTGCCAGCACCCCACAGAGGCAGGACCACAGCTCTGCCCTCATCACCCTCATGAGATCTCCCCATAAAACCACAGTTCCACCATCCTCTAGCAAAGTCAGCAGGGAGCCAGCACGACCTCCTCCACCCTCCCCAGTGCCAGGCCAGCCCAGGAAGGAGGGAAGCATCACTCACGTTGTTCCGTTGGTCTCCCCAAAGCGCTGGTAGGACTCGGGGTGGGCAAAGCCATTCATGCCATCAGGAGGGCTCCCCTCAGGTGTCACATCTGTGGAACTGTAGTCGTTGTAGTCCTCGCTGCGGAGGCGCCGTGTGGACATGGTCCCTGTGGGGGCAGTGGCATTAGGGGTGCCCAGCTCAACAGCCCCATCCTCAGGCACCTTGGGGTCAGCCATTGTGCAGAGAGACCGGCTCGCACTGCCCGAGCAAGGTCTCCTCCAGGGCTGTTATACAGCCACGTGCTCCCGCCCCAGCAATCACAGAGCTGGCATGTCCTAAGGTCAAAGGTGCATGGCACATTCCCACTGGCTCTTCCTTCAGGCTCGTGCCCATGTTTTGGGCACACCCAGGCAGAACGGGGTCAGGATCCTGCAGGCAGAGCCTGGATGTGACCCAATTCATGTCAGGCACGGGAGCTGTGTACCTCTGCTCTAAGGGTGGTGAGTGTGACACCACAGGCAGTGGGGTAGGAGGGGACATGCTGGCACTGTGTCCCCTGCTCTGGCACTTGGGACTAGGGCTGTCAAGTGGACGGGCCAGGAAAGTGTAACTGCTTTTAACTCGCACACAGTGTGCTGCAAGGGAACAGCTTGCTCTTGCCAGGGAAGGGAAAGTTTCCTAACTTCTCTTTTTTTCTTTTCCTTTTTATTTTTTTCCTTATTGAAGAACTTGTACTAAGGAGAATTTTTACAAAAATTTATTTTACTCCCATTAGTGAGGAGCACAGACCATGTGCTGAGAGCAAAACACCTGCCCCAAAGGTTTCACAGCCAAGGAGGTGCCTATGGGGAAAAGGGACTTCCCAGGATGAGACACCTGCACAGCCTGGAGCTCTTGCTCCAACAGAAACTCCAACAGTGTCCAGCAAACCAGGAGCACCAGCACAAGCCTCACCAAGGACGCACACCTCATGCCTTTGTCTGGAAAACAATCAGCTGGTTCAATTCCCACACATGCCACACCCAGTATCCCAAACACCCACTGGGAAGGAGCACCAGAGGCAGGGAAATTATGTGTAAGGCTCTTGCGCCACAGACTGGTGTTCCAGTCCCTGCCCCACGGCTCCTCTGGGCTGTCATGCCCCAGGCTTCACACCTGCTCCAGCAGTCCTGGTGCTCCCCCATCCCACTCCCCAGCACTGGTAAAGAGCTGGGAGCAAGAGGAAGCAGCAGAGAAATGTTACTACTGCAAAAAAACTGTCTCGTTTCCTGGCAGAGCTCTTCATGAACCCACCAAGTCATGCAAGCGCCTGCCAGATGCAACCTCAGCACAGACCAGCACATCTGGCCGTGCCAGGAATGCTCAGCCTGGGCCACCTGGGTGCTGCTTCACCCACAGAGCACACAGGCATTCCCCAGAGCACTGCTCTGCCAACCTGGCTGCTACATGGAAAACAAGCCAAGGGCTGCAGCCGCTGGGAGGGAGGGTCCAGCCTGGTGATCAGAAGGGTAGCAGGGAGCAGGAGTTTTCCCTCAGGTCTGGATGCTCCAGATCCCAGCTGCTCTGGAGCAGTTATCCAGGCCACAACAGCGGTGCTGTATTTCCTGCAGCACCAGGCAACACCAGCAGCAGGAAGCAGCAGTGTGTCCCATGGAGTAGCAGGCTCTGGAGCAGCAGTGAGGCTGGCTGGCAGGCACTCCAGAGCCAAAGGCAGCACATGCATCACTCCTGCCCAGCCTCCTCCCTCACAGCTGGGATGTGTAATCATGTCCTGAACCGGCTCTGCCGCAGGCAGGGCCATCCGGCGGGGCAGGGACCGGGAAGAGCGGCAGCAGGAGTTTACACAAGGAAAGCGTTAGAAGCCGTTTGTCATCAGTGACAGCCCAAGGGGCAGCAGAGAAACCTGGGAGGCTCTGCCAAGCCCCCACGGGCTGGCAGAGGGCAAGGAGAGTGGGCAGAGGTGGTGCAGGACTGGGTTGGGCATGGGTACCCTTCCCAAGGATGGCCTGCACAGCATCCAGAGTATCCAAGAGCAGTGAGTTTGAGATAAACACAACGTGCTGACATCACTCTGCCTGATTGCTCCCTGTGGATTTTTTTTTCCCTTTCAAGCAGGCCTGTCTGCTTTCTGCTTTGAAGAGCCAGGGAAATGCATTCATCGTGACTTGCCTGCCTTGTGTCTGGATTAAAGGTTGCATAGCAGCAGGGAGCGAGCACTCTGCTCTACCTCAACAACAAGGAAAAGCTGCAAAACTTGTCTCATCCACAAGAAAAACATTTAAAACCAAAGCAAAACCCCACTACACCATTTCCTTGTGATTGGAAACAGCAAAGGCAGGAACATTCGGTTCCCACTTCAAACCCAACTCCTCAGCCACTCTCATGTGCTTTTTTTGCCACCCACACACAGAAGCAATTTCATCCTATTAGGAAAGCTGGGGGGGGAGTAGTGACAGCAATTTGTCCCTTACAGTGACAGCCCCATGCCAGAAGTCAAAAGCAAGTTGTTACTTGCTGCTGACCGTGACAGCTCTCCCCAGCTGAGCTGGGGTTATGTGTAGATCGGGAAATCTTCCAGAAAAGCGAGCTTCACAGCAAAACTCACTGCTGCTTCCCACCACGCATGTTGAATCCTTCATTTCCAAAGGACTACTTATAATAATCCACCTCAGCGTGACACAAGGGAGAGCCAACAGCAAGCCCCTTCCCCAGGCCACCATGTCCATGCCAGCCTGACACCTCCCAGTCACAGCATCAGTCCTCTTGTCCCTGTGCTACCCAGTGCTTCCACAGCTCCAGAAAGCCCCCAGATTCACCTTTCCAATATTTCACAGCATGGCCCAGCACTCAGAAAGGCTGCTGGGCACAAACTCCACAAGTCCCCACAGCTCCCACCCCAGCCAGGCTGTGCTGCCCAGCTCCCCTTGCCCCTCCACAGAGCAGCACAGCTGAAGCCTGCAGAGTGTGGAGCTCCCTGCAGCCTCCCAGTGCCACAGAGCATCCCGCACCCTTCCCAGCAGCTCACATCGGGGGCTGTGCCCCCTACACTGCACGGCACGCCCGGAGGAGCCCCATGGGGGGCCAGCCTTCCTGCAGGGCATCGCCAGCACGCCCAGCACACCCATGTCAGCCTCCAGCACACCCATGTCAGCCTCCAGCACACCCAGACACCCCCAGCACACCCATGTCAGCCTCCAGCACCCCCAGCACCCATGCCAGCTGCCAGGACCCCCAGGCCCTGAGCACCCGCCCATGCACAGGGGCTGCCAACGAGGCCCCGGAGCCCCGAGTCCCTCGGCGCACCCCGGGTGATCAGCGCAGTCCCTTCAGTGCCCCGAGCACCCACGCGGGACGGCGGCACTGCCGGCACCCCGCGCATCCACCGCGCCCCCGGCTCTCCGGGCACGCGGCGGGCTGACAGGCGGCTGGCAGCCCCCACCCACCGACCCACCCGCAGCCCCGCGGTGCCAGTCCCGGTGCCAGCCCCGGTGCCTGTCCCGGTGCCGGTTCCGCACCTCTCCGCCGCCCGCACCGCCCGGCCCCGCCGGGCCCGCTCGCTCGGCCGCGTCGTCACGTGACCGCGGCTCAGCTGAGCGCGGCGCGTGCGCGCGGGCAGCGCTGAGGGCGAGGGGCGGGGCCGGGCGGGGCCGGGCGCGGGCGGCGGCGCCCCCTGGCGGCGGGCGGGCCCCGAGGCCGCTGTGGGGAAAGGCGGGAGCGCCGAGCCCCGAACCCCTGAAGGGCGGCCGGGGACGGGAAGCGAGCTGGGCAGCGGTGTGGAGCACAGGACTGTGAGGAAACTGAGGTTGTTCGGCCTGGAGGAGGCTCGGGGGTGGCTTTATCACGCTCTACAACTCCCTGAAAGGAGGGTGAAGCCGTGTGGCGTCGGGCTCTGCTCCCAGGCAACCAGCGACATGACAAGAGGACAAGGTGCTGAGCTGCGCCAGGGAATGTTTAGGTTGGACTTTAGGAAGGCTTTCTTCACAGAGAGAGTGATCAGACTGCCCAGGGAGATGGTGGAGTCACCATCCCTGGAGGTGTTTAAGGAAGGACAGGACATGGCACTGAGCACCATGGTGAAGGGGACATGGTGGTGCTCAGTCACGGGTTGGACTCACAAAGTGAGGTCCTGATCACAGAGATCTTCTTCAAGCTCATTGATTCTGTGCCTCTGTGATCCCCCTTGCCTTGGGGCAAGGCCTGCAGAGCCATGCAGGTGTCATGGTTATAGAAGGTCACCCAGATGAGCGACACCCTCAAAGCCCCCCAGCATGAGCTGGCCCCCCTGGGCCATGGCTGTGTCCCCATGTCCCCACATCACAAAGCAGCGCTTGCAGATCTCTGCCCCTCACACAGGAACTGGGCTCGGGGCTGCTCAGCTCCACTGGCCACAGCATCCTCCACTGCTGCCCCCACCACACCACCTCCACTTACCCCATCTCACACCCACATCCACACTATTCCCAGGGAAATAAATGTCACCCCCAGCAACAAGAGGCACCGGCTCTATGTCCTGGTAAAAAGATTTATTAAGAACCTGCAGAACCTGCCCAAAAGGAGGTTGCAGCCATGGCACTGAAGGGGAGCAGGGGCAGAGGGTTAGTGCTTCTCCAGGCAAAGCCACAGGGTAAAACAAAGCGAGTGGAGGGCACACAAAGGCAGTGGGAGCACATCTGCATGGTGGAGGAACACCCGCAGCAGTTAAGGCATATAAAGTGCTTGTAGAAGACCAGCCCTGTTGAGGGGCTACAAAACACAAGCAGGCAGGGACAGCAAGGGATGTGGGTGGCTGGTGGCACCTGGCACAGGGGAGTGATGACAGGCTCACGCCCTGCCCAAAGCTGCAGCAAGAAGGACACTGCCTGCCCACATGACAGTCCCCAGCCAGGACACCCCCAAATAGGATCTAGGCTGGTGGTCTTCATGGTCATCTCCCAGTTATCCCATGTTCAGGATGTTGCTGTGTTTGGGTGCCTCTGCCAGCACAGGGGAAGGATAGTCCCAGTGCAGCATCCTGCCTCGGCTCACTCCCAGAGGAAAAATTAGATGGGTGGGACTGGTCCTCAGCCAGGCTGTGCCCCAGCAGTGCATCACAGCCTTGTGTCCCCCTCTGGAGCAAGCACACCCATCAACCAGCAACCTCTTCTGCTGCTGGGAGCACCACCAACCTCTTGGTCCCCCCTAAGTGGGAATGTCCATGTGGGGCTCGGGTGGTTTCCATCCTCAGGTGTTCCTGTTTGCCACAGGAGGAGCATGGGGAGGTACAGGTACCTCATGCCACCAAGCTGGTTCCCCATGCAGGACAGGGATGCAGCAACAGCAGGTTCAAAGCTGCTGTGTGGGGTGGGGACACTTCTGCAAAACAGCCCCCTGCTCTGGCCAGAGATGGTGGGAAGCAGGAACACCCTCTGCAACTAGTGCTGCATCCTTCTAGCCTGCCCCAGCACTCCCAAACACTCCCTCATCCCAACAGACTGCTCCAAGAAATACTGCTTTTCTCTGGAATGTTTTTGTCTAAAATTGCCCTGATAAGAATAAAAGAAAAAAAAAAAGAAATTGGATAAAAAATAACAACCCCAGATCATGCTGGAGTTAGGCTCCAGGGCCACCCTGTCCAGGCAGGAGACACCCTGGTGATGGGTTTGGGGAGAGCAGAACAGCCAAAGGGGCCTCTCTGGGTGTAGCAGGGGAGGAGGCACTGGGGGGGACAGGAGGAGCCTCCTCCTGACAGCAGGAGGGATGGGTTGGCACAGGATGGGATGGGACAGGGGACCAAGCTGGAGGGGATATGAGGGCCGGCGTCCCACCCCTCAGTGGGAGTGCAGGGAGAAGGCCAGTTTGACACAGCTGAGCTCCTCCCCGCCATTGCT